CAGGGACTGCCAAGCGTGATTTAGCTCTTGAAGTGTGCTTTAAAAGCTCTTGTTGGGTGGGAGGGAGGAATAAGGAATTCGTGCAGAAACTAAGCTACTTCCACCCCTCCCTTCCCTAGCCGTCCTGGACCCCCCAGCGCAGCCCGACAGCTCCTGCCTGATCCCAGGGCTCTGACGTTGGGGGTGTTGGCTCCCTTAAGATCCCTAAAAATAATCCTCCCTAGCCTAGAATAGGGACGAGGTTGTGCAGGGAACATGGGTGGTGGTGGTGGTGGTGGTGGTGGTGTGGGTATTTTTTTTTTTGGTGAGTGATCTGGAGAAATGCTGACTGGTGCTTTTCTATTTTGCCTCGATTTCTATGTTTGTCACTGATCTTTAGCGCCTCTTTGCCTCTCTCTCCCAGCAAGTTTGAGATTGTAACCTTCGTCCTGGGCTCTGGTGGGAAACTTTGTAATTTTGCAATTGGGTGTCTCTCCCCCACACCCACTCCTGCCCTTGTCGGGGGTTTGGGAAGATGTGGCTAAAGTGTGTGTGTGTGTGACTTTGAGATGTGCAATACAACCTGCCCCCTCCCCTCCAAAAACGAAACCACACGCTTAACCCTAGATCTGCCTCCATTCTGCCCCCTCTGCTCTCAGAGAGCTTCCAGAGAGGGCCCATTCTTTCATGACAACCTGAGTGACTTGAGAATGCCTAGCTTCCTGTCTGTTGAACACACACAAATTCAGCTGTATCACTTGAATAGTATCATCTCATAATAAGTTCTGATGTAGTAAAAAAAAAAGAATCTTAATTTTTTCCCCTCTGCCTCCAATTAACAAACACCCTGACAACTCCTCTGGTGAACTGTATTTTTTTTTTAAGAAGTCAGCCTTAATTACGGAGCAAACAGCACTTGGAAAGAGAATTGGAGAGTATTTCATCCACTTTGTTTCAGCTGAAACACCATCCACTGTCTTAGTCTTAGCTAAATTCACAGACTCCTTGGTCTGTGCCATGAGTATATATTGATAAGGATGTTAAACCTACCAGGGAGACTAGAGGCAATCCAGTGAAATCCCATTTACAGAGGAGGAAACTGAGGCTTAGAAAGGAGAAACTGCTTTCCCTGTTTGTTTTGGAGAAAGGAGGGAAAATGAACTGTGCTTTTATTGGCAATAGGTAATTCTCACAGTGAAAATTCTACCAATGCAGAGTAGCCTTTGCTCTGCAACTTATCAATAAAGTTGCCTGGAGTAGTGGGAGGTTAAGTGACTTGCCCAAAGTCATATAACCAATATGTTTCAGAGGAGGACTTGAACCCGGGTTTTCTTTATGCCAAGGTCTACTGTTTATCCTTTATGCCAAGTTGCCAGTTTGTTTATATAGGATGGGACCAAAACTAAGTCTGTTTTTTTTTTGGGGGGGAGCATTATTCCCTAGATAGCTTTAGCAACAAAGGTAGAATCATAGACTGTTAGGCATGGAAAGATGGAGAACAGAAAATGTCAGAGCTGTGACAGGCCTGAGAGATCATGAACCCTGCATGTTACAGAGAGGACCAAGGCCGGGGGAGGGTAAGTAACATGCTGAAGGTGGTACAGATGATCAAGAGCAGATCTCAGGGCTCGGTTTCCAGCAATTTTCTCACTATACCATAGTCTTTCCTGCCTAAATGTGGGCAGCAGCTATGGGGGACCTCTTGCTAAGAGGTGATTCTCCTCAGACCATGTAGCATTAGCCCCCTCCTCAAAGAACTGCCCCCAGTCCCACCTCCCTCTAAACCACCCAGCAACCTTCCCAATGAGCAGTAATCCAGATGGGGTGGAGGGAGAGAAAATGACTCCAAGTATAACATTTTAATCTTATTTCCTTTCACCCATGCTATTTTTTGGAGCTTTCTCTATGATTAAGGTCATATACAAATATACACATATCAAACCAAAAATACTTTCAGTAAAGAGAGATAGGGATGGGGGAGAGAAAAAGGGAGGTGAAGAGATGTCTTCTGCTCTTCCTTCTCGCCTCCCATTCCTCCCCCACCCCTTCTCTAAGGTGAATCTTGGGTTAGCTGCTACTGCCTGCCTCTTAATCTCCTGAAAGAGAATTCTCCCACACCGAGTGGAAATTGGCCTCAGCCTCCTGCAAGGGGCGAGCACGCGAACGATTTGTGCATCTTGCCTCCTACAGAGGCAAACAGAGCGGTGCCTTGCCGGGCTCCAGCCTCCGCCTCTTCGAAAAGGAGTCATTCCTCTGAACATGAACCATCAGTTTCAGACCCTCCTCTTCCCTTCCCGTCGTCTTCCACCCCACCCCACCCCCTCTTGCTAGGACAGGCGAGAAGTGAAGGCGCCCTAGTCCGAGCCATTCTCTCCAGCCCTTCCTTCATTTACCTAAGTGAACATGATGGGCAACTGATCACGTTACATTGCTTCCTGACCCAACGTGTCCACTCCAATAAGACGCCGGCAGCGGCGGCGGCGGCGGCGGCAGTATGTGGGTGCATTGACTTGAACTGGAGTGTCAGGGCAATCTGTGGCCTCCCTGGACAGGTTGGGGAACTGGTAGCTGGCTGTTGGTTACTTTTCTGAGCTACTGGTGGAGGTAGGGGGAGGGGTGGGGTTTGAGGTTTACACACTTAGAAACTTCAATGCTTTCTGTTTTCCTTTGAGGTTAGCTCCTCGACCTTCTTCCCCTCTCACTGGAATATTTGAGGGTAGAGGCAGTCCCTCATTTTTCTTCTCCTGCTAGGGGAAATGACCCCAAACCCCACCTTGTTCACACACTTCTATTCCAGACTCCTGCCCTCTCTTTGGAGTTAGTGCAAAAGGGTGGGTGGGGGGTAGGGCTGTGGTGTGTGTGTGTGTGGGGGGGGGTCCTCTCAGACAATCCTTCTGCTGGCTTCGGTTAAATCTAAGGGTGGGGAACTTGGTGAGAGGAGAGGGAAGATGTCCACCTGGAGTGTAGTAGAAGGTACCTGTCAGGTCTGGGGGTGGGAGAACACAGAAGGCTTCTGGAAAAGAAACTGCTCTTGGGGGCTATGTGGACTTGGGTACTCCCTATCAGTCACTCCATCACCACTTCCATTTAGGAAGAGGTGATAGAAGGAGCCAACAGTTGGAAGACGGCTGTAGGGTAAGCAGTCCAAGGGATGGTCTTCTATTCAACAAACACTTATTACAAGCACCTACTCAGTACTAGGACTAGAGAATTAAAAGTTTCGATAAGACATGGGTTCTTCTTTATCTGTTCCCAACTTGGTCCCTGGATCCCTAGTCCCTCTTTTCCATATCCTGCATCAGAGGCCCTGAGCGGAAATGTGTCTATACAGTGTTGGTGCTGTGGGAATCTCTTGAGACCAAGCTGGGACTCTGGGCCAAGGGAGAAGTGAGAAATGGTGTGTCAGACTCTTCCATATGGGTCTCTTACTGGCTTCTTCTACCTGTTGGCCTGTGGCAGTGAGTGCAAACTGTTGGGGTCAGGAGTCCTTGGCCACTGCTGTGACTCACGTGGGGCGGGGGTGAAGGTCTTTCTCAGCTCAGGAACAGTGGGATAGGGAGCCTTGCTTTTCTTTGCACATAATAGAGACTGAATATTTAAGAGTTCAATATAAATGAAATAATTTTACCAGTTTGTCCTTACATCAGAACAGAAGTAAAACTCTTAAGACCTCTGCAAGAATTTGGGGGTGTGGCACCTTAAGATCTCCCAAACCTGCTTTTACATTAGGAAATATTTTTCAAACTCCCAAAGCTATTCTCATATGTACACTCTATGAAATTACCAGATAAAATGAGATTGGACACATCAGTCTTCCCAGCTTGCCTGATCTTGGTGATTTCTGGAACCCCCCACTCTCCTTTTGTGGACATGAAGTGATATGGCAAGTGACTGAAGCCCAGTGAGAAATCAGGGAACACTCCAAGGGATTGGCCCAGTTTCTAAAACAGCTTTGTCCTCTACCCTGACAGCCCTAGGCCCTTAAAGCTCTCTGGGTGAATCTGTCTTCACTCTCCTAAGTGCTTGGGGCAGGAGCTTCTTGAGGGGGAGCTAGGTTTTCAGATCCAAATGCCGTATCCTGCTCCCTTCCCACCAAACTGTTCCATACTGTGGAAGATCAGAAGATGTAGCATCTAGTATGGGAAGAAAACTTAGGGACCATAGGGTTATAATTCTTAGAGCTGGAAGGGACCTCACGGGTCATTCAGTCCCTCATTTTACAGATGAGGAAACTGAGGCCCAGGGAAATGAGTGACTTGCTCCTGGTTACTCAGGTACTAAGTGTAAGAGTTGGGATTCGGCCCCTGATCTTGTGATCCCAGTCCTTTGCCAACAGTATTGCACCACAGCCATGCCTTATCTCATAGAAGGGCCCAGAAAAGTAAAAAAGAGTTGAATACCAAGATTTGGATCCAGGTCTTTGGACTTCAAGTCCAGTGTCCTTGCAGCATCTATAGTTCTACTCTGTCCTTGGGGAGGAGGGCAGAAGGTCAAGGGAGAGGGTGAGTGTAGTTACCAACTGTGGGGAAAAAAGGTGAGAGGCAAAAATCCCAACTTCTCTCCCTGAGGGTCTGTCTCTGAAGAATCTTGGGGACTTCTCATATTTTTGAACTGTACATACTAGGTTAGCTGTATTCATTGTAGGTAGAACAAGGTGACTCTTCTGAAATGATGCAGGCATAATTATATTAATACATGGCATTTACAGAGCAATTTGTACTTTTAAAAATGCATTGACGTCTTTTTCTTCTCAATGGTCATGGGCATTGAGTCAAAGGTTGGGAGTTGCCCTACCAGAGCTGGTGCCAGGAGGATGCTGGCACAGCTGTAAACATTGGGTGGCTATAGAGGAGGAAGGTGGCAGAGTGATGACCTTGAACATGGGTCCTCTGGTTGCTTGAAGTATCCACCCCTGGGCATCACCATCAACTTCATCTAGGACGTGTGTCCTGGAGTTGTTGGCTAACCCCGCCCTTTACCCCTAGGGCAAGGTTCCAGGGAACTACTTGATAGCCTTGAGCAAGTCATGCCCTGGAGACACTTTTGTTTCCTCTTCCCAGAAAGGAGCAAGACAGGACTTTTCAGGGATGCCAGAGGGTCAAGGTGAGATGGGGGGAGGGGAGTGCTATGTGGACACAGTGGCTATTGGTCATTCAGCCATCCTAACCAACTCTGCCATCTTTGTCAGTGATGGAAACTTTCTCTCTCTTCCATATACATCCTGTTCTTTCCCCTCTTTCCTCCTTCTCTTCAACCTTTTCTCTCACTTCCCTTTCCTCTCCTCTATTTTTAAAAAAGTTTTTATTTTTCATTATTCTGAACTTGATCAGCACTGACAAAGCACAAACACTTCCATATGCACAAGAACCCAAAAGAGAATTGTACATGAAATGGCAGATCTCTTTTTTTAATAGACTAAATACATGTTATTTTCACGACTGATGTGATTATCTATGTCTCCCTCTGAATTTCCTTCTCCTAGTTTCTTGTGCATGTTTCAATGATCGTCTTCTCTTTTTTTTTTCTACTAGTCCTCTATCCCTTCCAAACTTCACCTCCTCAATTACAAATGAACCCTTCCTTGTGGCTAATAGGCTGTCAAACAAAACACATCCCCACAGTGGCTATGTCCAAAGATGCAGGTTTCATTCTGCACCATGCCTTCTCTATGAAGAGGGCTCCCCTTTTCTTTCTTTTATTGTTTTTTTCCCTTTTGCCTAGGCTTTTCCCCATCCCCCAGCACCCTGCTTACATGGCTCTGGGAGAAGGAAACTTCCTTCTCTGAAATTCTATGATGTCACAATGACACTAAACCTGAAGTCCTAGACTCCCTCAGCAATGTTCCAGCATTCACAGCCCTCAGTCCTGCCCACCTCGTGATGGTGGTGATGGGGTTGGGGGGAGGTGGAGTTGAAGGGGAAAGGAGAACCATGGGCCAATATGTATCTGGCCAAGAGCAGAGGGAAGCCTGAGGGAAGAAGGTGTATCATGCCAGAGGCCAGGAGCCGGTTCTGATCAGGGAAGAATGGAGAAACAACCTAGGGTTGGGCTTCCTTTGCCAGCTACATCTGGTGCCTGGCCCTGGTCTGGGACTGGGCCAGGGGAGTCATTATGAATGATCAGAGTTTGAGTGTCTGGCACACACCTACCCCCCTCCTTTCTCTCTCTCTCTCTCTCTCTCTCTCTCTCTCTCTCTCTCTCTCTTCTCTCTCTCTCTCTCTCTCTCTTCTCTTTCCCTATCTCCACAGCACCCTCAGTGGCTCTGAGGAGAGGGCAATGTTGAAGGAGTCTGGCTGGGCTGGAGGACTGCCATCTGGTCTTAAGCACCAGAGGGATATTGGGGGAAAGGATACTTGTGGACAGTGGGAGGCACTTTTAGCTGTGGGAGCCTTTGGGGGCTGTGGAGAGGGGGTGGTTAGTGTGTACTTGGCCCATAGGCTAAGTACTGGTGGATAGTGTATTCATTGAGTACCTTCTGTGTGTCTAGCATGGTGCTAGCTAGGCCTATGAGAAACACCAAAGAAATATGATATCACCCCCAAGGGGCTTACAGTCTGGCCTGGGAACCATACTCTCACAAATCAAACAAGTAGAGAAAGGAAGATGGTTTTCAATCAAATGCTCAGTTCTACTATTAATGAATAATGCCAGAAAATTCAGAGAAAGGGAAGAGTGTTGTGGGGCTGCAGTATTCAGGAAAGTCTTCATGGAGAAGGCCAGGGTAGTTCATTGAAAAGAGCACTGGATTTGGTGTTGGGGGGCTGGAATTCAAGTCAAGTCAACAAGCATTTATTAAGCACCAGCTATGTGCCAGACACTGTGCAAAGTGCTGTTTGAATCCCAGCTGTGTGTGACCTTGAGTGAGTTGCTTTTAGCTCTTTGGGCCTTAAAAAATTTTGAACTAATTGATCTCTAAAGTTCCCTTCATTTCGAATTCCTATGATCCTCTGAGGTGGGACTTGAGCTGTCCTAAAGGATGGGCAGGATTCAGATAATCAGAAAGAAATGTGATAGTCATTTCAGGTGGGCACAGGATTGGAGGCAGGTAGGGAAAAAGGCAAAGAGCCTGGCCTGGCTAGAGTGGAAGCATGTATATATCAGCAGGTCAGATTGGAGAAGGGAAAATGGAGCCAGATCCCAGAGAGCCTTGAATGCCAAGTTGAGTTCCAGTTTGGTCAGATGTCAGTGGGGAATGGTATTTTAAGTAGACAAATAATCTACCAAAAGTATGCAGGATAGATTGGTGGAGGAAAGAGATTAAATGAAGGCTGAGAGACCAATAGACAGCTATTATAGTTACATAAGCGTAATAATTCACATTTATAAAACATTTTATAGTTTACAAAGTTCTTTCTTCCCAACAGCTTTCTGAGGTCTTACAAATACCATTATGTTCATTTTACAGATGTGGAAACTGAGTGGTGAGTGACTTGTCCCAGGTCTCACAACCACAGAATATTGGCACAGCGTTCTTTGAATAGCCTTATCCCCCATGTCTGGCATGCTCTACCTCATCACTTCTACCTCAGAATCCCTAGTTTCTTCAAGGCTCGGGCAAGGGGCCATCTTCTACATGAGACCTGATTCCCTTCTCTTCTAATACCTCTTCCCCTGAAATTTTTTGTTGTTCAATCATTCAGTCATATCCGTCTTAATTTTGTACATCTTTTGAACCAACATTTATACTAACATACATATGTGTGTATACATGCTGTTTCCTCCAAAGAATGTAAGTTTCTTGAGGGAAAAGATCCTTTTGTCTTGTTTTTCTTCCTTGCATCGCCATCGTCTAGTATAATGTCTGGCGGCTGCTAGATACTTAATAAATATTGGTTTACCAGTATTAGAGCTAGGACTTAGACCTAGGTCCTTCATCTACAGGCTCCACTCTTTCAACTGCACCCACTTAGTTGAGAGTGAGAATGAATAGAAAGGGAAATTTGTGGAGATGAGAGATAATTCAAAGGATTTGGTGGTGGCAGGGATATGGAATTGGGAGGAGTCATACATGACTACACAGTTTTGAACCTAGAGTGTTGCCATTAACAGAAATAGGGAAGTTGGGACTGTAGCTTAAGGATGAAGAGAGAATGGATGTGTTTGGGACCTGTTGAATTTGAGGTGAACCCAGAACTCCCGATAGGCTGTAGGCAACTGAAAGTATTGCATTAAAACAGGGAGACGTGGAGAGAGTGGATAAATGGAGAAGAGGCAGACCAGAGGGCCAGGACCGGGCCTTTAAGGATTATCCAGGGAAGAATAAGCAGAAAAGGTAGATAATTTCAGATCTATTGAGTAGTGTGAAATCACACAGATTTAGAGCTGGATGGGACTTTTAAGGTCCTTTCACCTTATTTTACACATGGGGAAATAAACTCGGAGATAATTAGTAACTTTTAAAAAAAAAATTTTTTTAGGAAGTTGGGATTAAGTGACTTGCCCAGAGTCACACAGCTAGCTAGTAAGTGTCAAGTGTTTGGTCTGAGGCCAGATTTGAACTCAGGTCCTCCTGACTTCAGGGCCATTGCTGTATCCATTGTGCCACCTAGCTGCCCCAATTAGTGACTTTCTGAAGGTCCCAAGGTCACACAGGCATTAAGTGACAGTCCCAAGATTTGAACCTAGGTCCTCTGATTCCAAATCCAACCCTTTGCTTTGTACCATTTTACTTTAAGAGTGTTCTTTATGGTATGGCATAGATGGGCAGCTAGATGGCACAGTGGATAGAAAGCCAGGCTGGAGTCAGGAAGACTGCTCTTCCTGAGTTCAAATGTGGCCTCAGACACTTAATATTTGTGTGACCCTGGGCAAATCAGTTAACCCCATTAAACCACCCCTGTATGTTCACCCAGAAAACCCCAAATGCAGACATGAAGAGTCTAACATAGCTGAAAATGACTTAACAACAACAAAATAGATAAGGTTGTATAAAGAAATTATCTTTTTTCCATTGGAAGGACCAGTAGAGCCTTTCTATGATATTTGATGCCATTAACCATCCCCATCTTCTAGACACTGTTTCCTCATTTGGCTTTTTTTTTTTTTTTGGCTAGGCAATCTGGATTAAGTGACTTGCCCAGGGTCACACAGCTAGCTAGTAAGTGTCATGTGTCTGAGACTGAATTTGAACTCAGGTCCTCCTGATTCCAAGGCCGAAGCTTTATCCACTGTGCCACCTAGCTGCCCCGTCCCTTAGCTTTTGATATTGTTCATAGGAATTCTCCTAGCTGATCTCTTTTCCTTAGTCTCCTTAAAGGTCCAGGAAGAGCTTGTCAGGTTGGGTCAGGGGATTCTTAACCATTTTTGTATCATGGATTCCTTTGGTAATTTGGTGAAGTCAAGTCTACGGACCCCTTCTCAGAAGAATGCTTTTAATGAATAAAATAAAATGCATAGGATTACAAATGAAACCAATTCTATTGAAATATAGTTATAGATATATACATATCTATATCTGTATATCTATCTATCTATATTTTAAATCAAGCTTTTGGATTGTGAGTTAAGAAATGCTGGAATAGGGCATTATTAGGCCAAATCTAATAAGATGAAATTCACAAGGGATAAATGTAAAGAATTACAAAAAAAAGAAGTACAAAAAAAATCAACTTTACAAATATAAGATGAGGTCTAAGGCATCTTTTGTCAGTTTGTCTGAAAAAAAGATGTAGGGAGAGTTAGTGGACTTAGTAGATGAGGCAGCCAAAAAACCTAATTTAATCTTGAACTGTATTAAGAGGCAGAGCTTCAAGAAATAAGGAAGCACTAATCTCTCTGTATTCTGTCCTTGCCAGATGTCATCTGGAGCATTGTGTTCATTTCTGGGTACCATAGCTTAAGAGAGACATTGATTAGTGAGAGATTGTCCAGAGGAGGGTGGCCAGGAGGGTGAAGTCTTGAGTCCATCTTGTATGGAGACTAGTTGAAGAAACTGGAGATATTTAACTTGGAGATGATTCAGGGAAGTGTTATATTATCTGCCAGGAATTTAAAGACTGCCATGTGGGAAAAGGTTTCGATTTGTTCTGTTTGACCCTGGAGGGGATGGAAGTTGCAAAGAGGTAAATTTAACTGTTCAGAAGTTGAATGGACTGCATGAAAAGGTAGTAGGTTCCTCCTCTTTGGAGATCTTGCTGAAGCTAAATCACCACCTGTTGTATATGCTGTAGTGGGAATTCCTTTTGGGTATGGGCTTGGGCTTGGTAGCCACTGAGGTACCTTCTGATTTTCCAATTCTTTGTTTCTGTTTATCCTCCTCCTCCTCCTCCTCCTCTTCTTCCTCTTTCTCCTCTTCCTCCTCCTCTTTTCTAGATGTGTGTCCTCTAAAGCTTTCTCCATGAAACTCTTTTCTTGTCTGCCCATTGTCTTCCTTGGTAAGCTCATCTTCTCCCATGGTCTTAATCGTCTTCTCTGGTCAGACAATTCCAAAATCTCTATTTCCAACTCTTAATTTCCCTGACCTCCAATCCCATATTTCCAACTAACTGCCTGTTGGATATCTCCACCTAATTGTCCTGCCAGTACCTCAGATTCAACTTGTCCAAAATAGAACTCATTATGTCCTACACCAAGCGTGACCCTCCGTGGCACTATCATCTTCCTGATCATGCCAGATCAAAATCTGAGTCATATCCCTTTCCCTCACCTCCCCACATCCAATCAGTTGCCAAGTTCTATTGACAGCTCTAGCATCCAGCCCCTTCTTCCCATTCATGAAACTACCCTCTTAGCTTAGCTTCTTATCTCTTCTTTGCCTGGGCTGCTGTAATCACACCCTATCAATCAATCAATCAATCAACAAACATTTATTAAGCATCTGTTCTATGCCTGCACCTGGTTAAGCACTGAGGATGTGGAAACAGTATCTGGCCTCAAGGAGTTAACATTGTAATAGGAAGGGAAAAAGGGAAACGTTTATTAAGCTAAGTGCTTTACAAATATCTCCTTTGATCCTCACAACAACCCTAGGAGGTAGGTGCTATTATTATCCTCATTTGACACCTGAGGAAATTGAGGTGGAGGTTAAGTGAATGTCTGAGTCAGCATTTGAATTCAGGTCTTCCTGACTCCAAGCCCAGTGCCCTATCCACCTAGCCATCTCAGGTAAGACAACATGTAAGTATAGGGAGAGAAGGCACTAAAAGCTGGGGGGGGGAAGGGGATCAAGAAAGGCTTCAGGTAGAGGGCGGTTCTCAAGTCGAATTTTGAAGGACAGCAGAGATTCCAAGAGGTGGAGGGGAGGAAGGAAGTATATTCCAGGCATGGGGATCAGCTAAAGGCACAGAGATGGGGGATGGAACATTGTGTATCTACAGCAGCAAGACTGCATGGCTGTTCTGCCTCTCAGCAGTCTCTTTCGTCTTCAATCTAACCTTTCTCCAGTTACCAAAATTGTCTTCCTAATCCACAGGTCACTTAGATGCTCAAAAGTGTTCAGTGGTTCATCTTTGCCTATAGAACAAAATATTGGCAGTTAGGGTCTTCCGGGCTAGCTTTACACCACTCTCCATGTGCTCTCAATTCCCATCAAATTGACTTCTAGCTGTTCCCCAGTCTCATCCTGCCCTCTCCTGCCTCCTCCATCCATTAGCAAAGGCCATCTGCCATGCCCAGAATAGAAACACTTCTCATCTCAGCTTGTTGAAATTCCTCTCTTCTTCCTAGGAGCTGCTCTGGTGCCACCACCTCTGTGAAGCCTTCTCTGATTCCTCTAGCTGAAAATATTCTCCCCCTCTTGGAATTTTCCTAGAACATCTTTGCTGCATCTCTTTTTGGTCCCTCTTACGCTGCACCCTCTATAATACTCATTTGGGCACATGCTATAATCCCCCTCTGGTAGAATGTAAGCTCTTGAGGGCAGGGACTATTATTTTTCATCTTTGCATTCCCTGCACTTAGCACAATGCCTTGTTATGTGGGATTTGTGTTAGGGAATTGTTGAATGTGGAGAACCAGTGGAAATCTCAAAGTGCCAGCTCTGGAAGTTGGTGGAAAGGGCAAGAAAGAGCCCTAGCTTTGGATCACAAAGCTAGGATGGAAGCAGGATGGAAGACAGGTTGAAAGCTGTCCTCCCAAGCTAATGTGGTAGCTGGCCAGCTTGGTGGGCTAGGCTTAGATGCTAGGTCAATGGGAGCAGTTTAGCTTAGAAACTGTCCTTCTCTTTTATGTATAGGTTAGGCTTCCATTTCTCCATCTGTAAAGTGCAAATAATACTTACCCCACTGATTCACAGGGTCATTGTGAGGAAAGCACTCCAAAAATGTGAGCTATCATCATTATGAGATTCCCAGGCTCTGTAATTCAGCAGTCCTGGCTTCTGTTTCATTTTCCCGTATTTTCTACAGTTGTCAGTGAAGCCTTTAAAAAAAAAAAAGCAGCTCAATCTCTGTCTTGGGAGCAGCGTGAGGTCACGCACAGTGATGCCAGGCAAGGACAGGGAGCAGCTGAGGGGAGACAGGAGTCACCATACCAGCATTTCAGAGAGCTCATGAGTAAGGATGGAGTGGGAATCATAGGACCATTGAGAAATCACCTAGTCTAGCCTCCCTCATTCGTAGCAGAGCAAACCAAGAAGAAGAAAAGTTAAATGACTTGGCCAAGATCACAAGGTAGCAAAGCCAAGATTCAGAATTCTAACTTGGGTCCTCTGACCTGCAAATTCAGAGTTCTTTCCACAGCACTATGAGAAAAAGAAAAATATATTCCAAAGGGCTAAGTTTACTCTCTCTTTGCAAATAATCCTGCCTAGAGGCAGGGAGTACTGATAACAGTGACCTAGATCGCCCTAGATCTTAGGGGGTTGGTTGATAGAAGATTGGATTTTCCCAGTAACCCCCTCTCCTAGCCAGGGAGGTGATAATCCAGTTTTAGCATTGCAGTTTAGGGTGGGATATTCAACTCCTCCTGCTGTCTGAGGTCCAGAGGCAAAGATCCAGTCAGTTGACACCACCCTTTTTACTCCAGCCATTCATGGCACTAACCCTAACCCCTCCCTGCCCTTGGCATGGGTCAGTGGGAGAAGCAGGTTATAAAGGTCTGTGACATCTTCACTATTTGTCTAAGGGTCCATAGTTTGTTTCCTCCCTCTCCACTACCATGTCCCTTACCTCCAGTGGCCCCACCCCCAGTGAGCTCCTACACAAACTGGCTCTTACATGAAACCCCATTGCCTACTGTCTGAGTTTCAATCAAACTTTTGATCCACTAAACTTTAGACTATATAGTATAGTGAGAGGTAGTGTTGGTATAATTGATAGAGAATTAGCTTTGGAGTCAGGAGAGACCAGGGTTCAAGGCCCATCTCTAGCTCATACAGGTTGGGTGACCAGGGGTAAGATAGCAACTTCTCAATGCCTGAGGCAATTCTTTGAAACAGTGGTTCTCAAACTTTTTGTTCTTAGAACCCTTTTATACTTAAAAATTATTGAAGACCTTCCACTAAAGAGTTTTTGTTTATGTGGGCTATGTCAATATTTTACATATTAGAAAATAAAACATCTTAGTATTATTATGAAGGGACACCTAGGAGGTGAAATGGTTAGAGTGCTGAGTTCAGATCTGGCCTCAGATGCTAACTGTGTGATCCTGGACACTTAACCCTGTTTGCCTCAAAAAAAAAATGAAATACAATCCTCTCCCTTTGTTATGTAAATTCTTCCAGAGAATGACCAATAAAAAATCAAGTCAGGCATTTATTAAGTATGGACTCTGTGCTAGCCACTGTCCTAAGTACTAGGGATACAGAGAAAAGCTTCAAGGAGCTCACAGTCTTAATGGAGGAGGTAACATGCAAACTATGCACATACAAGATATATTCAGGGTAAATTAGAGATAATTTCAGAGGGAAGGCACTAGCATTAGGGGAGATCCAGAAAGACTTCTTGAAGAAAGAGGGATTTTAGTTGAAACTAGAAGGGTCCATTATACTCTCTTTGTGTCTCTGTCTCTGTTTCTCCTCTTTTTGTCTCTGTCTTCTCTCTGTCTCTCTGTGTCTCTTCTCTGTCTCTCTTCTCTCTCTATGTCTCTCTCTGTCTCTGTCTCTCCTCTTTCTGTGTCTCTCCTCTCCCTGTCTCTCTCTCTCTGTCTCTCCTCTCTGTCTCTCTCTGTCTCTCCTCTCTCTTTATCTCTCTCATCTCTGTGTGTTTCTTCTTTCTCTATGTCTCTCTCTGTCTCTATCCTCTCTCTGTGTCTCTCCTCTCTCTGTGTCTCTCCTCTCCCTGTCTCTCTCTCTCTGTGTTTTCTTTTTCTGTCCCTCCTCTCTCTACATCTCTCTCTGTCTTTGTGTGTCTCTCCTCTGTCTATGTCTCTCTCTGTATCTCTCTCTCTCTCTCTGTGTCTCTTTGGAGATGAGATGGAAGAGAGTCCCAAGTACAGGGAGATGTGTTTGAGGAAAAGCAAGGAGGCCAGTGGCTCTGGTTTGTAGAAAATGTAGAAGGTGGAAGGTACAAGAAGATTAGACAGGAAAGGGTCAGGTTTTAAAAATCAGAGAATTTTATAGTTAATCCTGAAGGTAATAGGGAGCCACTGCAGTTTATTGAGTGGGGGTGAGGTGGTGACATGATCAGACTTGGGTTTTAGTGGACATTATCAGCTCCCCTTCAGTCTACATTCCAGCCAAATTGTCCTACTTTCCTTTCTCACAGATGACAAACCATCTCACATCTCTAGTCATTTGCACATAAAAACCATTCTTAGCTCATTTGTTGTTTCAGTCATTTTGTTTCTGACTCTTCATGACCCCATGTGAGATTTTCTTGGCAGAGATGCTGGAATAGTTTGCCATTTCCTTCTCTAGATCATTTTACAGATGAGGAAACTGAGGCAAACAGGGTTAAATGACTTGCCCAGGGTCACACAACTAGTAAGTGTCTGAGGCTGGGTTTGAACTCAAGTCTTCCTGACTCTAGGCCCAGCCACCTAGCTGTCCTTACGGATCATTAGTGAAAGGGAAAAACTCTTA